ACCACTTATATGGGCGGAGTAAGCTCCTGACCATCTGTCTAGCTTGCTGTCGACCTTTGCAGCCCGAAAGACATCTTTCAAGTAGGGAATTTAGGTACCACTTATATGGGCGGAGTAAGCTCCTGGCCATTTGTCTAGCTTGCTGTCGACCTTTGCAGCCTGAAAGATGGTTGCATCTTTCAAGTAGGAAATGTAGGTTCCACTTATGCGGGGAGGCTAATTTAACTAATTTACAATGCCATAAAAATCTCCAGCAGCGTGCAAAAGAATGAGGAAATACTCCATTAGTGTCACAAGTGAACGGTGAAGCAACAGCTCCCCTGGTAGCTGGACTTCGAGCATACCCTCATAAAACAGGAAAGTTAAATAGCCTCTGTGTGTCTGTCTGTATATGTTGTGTGTCTGTGGCATTGAATGTTTGCCATGTATAAGAGATGCTAATGAGATACGTTTTGTTGACGTTGCAATGATTGTATATTTATGCTATTGTTTTTTATTGTTTTAATTGTTTTACGATGTGTGAACATTGAACTTTTGCTACTGGAAACTGCTTTTGAGTCACCCAAGGGCTGAGAAAAGTGGTATATAAATAGGGTAAATAAACAATAAATAAATAAGTGTGCATTGTGATCTACCCTGAGTCCCCTGCAGGGTGAGAAAGGCCGAATATAAATACTGTAAATAAATAAATAAATAAATAAATAAGATGAATTCTTGTCCCAGCATTGAACGTTTGCCGTATATATGCTGTGCTCTGCCTTGAGTCCTCTTTGGGGTGAGTATTTATTATTTATTTATTTATTTACTGCATTTGTATACCGCCTTTCTCAGCCAGAATATAAATGTTTTAAATAAATAAATAAGTAAATAACTTGTGGTGCCCAGAATTGGACCCAGTGTGATGCCAGATTGGATTACTGTAATGCACTCTACGTGGGGCTGCCCTTGAAAATGGCCCGGAAATTTCAACTGGTACAATGGTTGGATTTTCGGTATCCTGACCTGTCTCCTGAAACCTTGGAACCCTGAATCTTTGGACTGGGTTTTGGCTATGGTATAGACCAGGGGTCCTCAAACTACGGCCCGCGGGCCACATGCGGCCCACTGAGGGTATTTATCCGGCCCGCGCAGCCTGGCCTAGCCTCGCACAAAGCCCCTCGCCGCTTGCCGGGCCCAATCCCCTCGCATGCCTCGCATTGCTCGTTATCATTTTTTTTAAAAACTATAGTCCGGTCCTCTAACGGTCTGAGGGACAGTAATCTGGCCCCCTGTTTATAAAGTTTGAGGACTCCTGGTATAGACTCTTGATCCCTGAACTTTGACCCTTTGACTACGGTGTAGCGTAGTTTTTGTTTTGTATTCTGTGGCTGAGTGCTATCTTTATGTTTTATCTTTTGGACTAGTAAAACAGACAGAAAGTAAGCGTTATTTTAATTAAACTGCTTGATACAAACTGGGTATGTGTTTGGTTCATCTCTACCTGAATAAGGCAGAGCCCTGGCATTTGACCACTGGACTG